CCCTTTGAAATCCTTCCAGCGCAGCCTGGCGTTGCCTGGCGTCTAACCGGCTGCGTTTTGGTGCAACCACCATCTGAGCCCAGATGATCTTTCCCAAGTTAATCTAAAAACTGTGGGAGAGGCTCTTTGTCCTAAATTTCAGTTTTAATAAGTTCTGACATAAGCCAACCAGGAAAATGTGGCTTAGACACTTTTTTCTATACAGTAGGTATGAAGCTGCTGGAAAAAAATATAATTGGGGAGTAATTATCAACAGTTTGCTAACGAAGCCACAGAGGTTCCACGGGAATTGTCCTAGGCTTGGTGTTGGTCTTAATGACCCTGCTGATAAAGCGTGTGTTAACAAGTGATGCTGGGGAGGGTCGCGAGTCCCCCAGACTCAAAACGAGACGGATTGTGGGTCCCGATGTCCTCTGTCCCCTTCTCATCCTCCAGCTGCGCCTGATCGACTGGGGGCTGGCGGAGTTCTACCACCCTGGGCAGGAATACAACGTGCGGGTGGCCTCCCGGTACTTCAAGGGACCAGAGCTCTTGGTGGATTATCAGGTACGTCCTGGTGGCCCCAGTGGGTGACAATCTGTGGTGAACACGTGAGCAAGGCAAGAGATGGCCCGTCTGTGGCTCGTGGTGGCTGGAAAAACCCTTGAGAGATCGGTGTGACCTGCCCGGGGGGTGAATTAATTGGGAAAAGTGGCAATACATTGGAGTCATGGCGTTGGTGGAGAACGGAAGAGCAACCGATGTCATCGTCTTGGGCTTGTGTAAAGCCTTTGTCACTGTCCCGCTCAACATCCTTGTCCCCAGATTGGAGAGATGTGGATTTGACAGAAAAAACACTTGGTGGGTAAGGAACTGGATGGATGGTGGCACCCAGAGTTGTGGTCAACAGCTCAATGGCCAAGTGGAGACCAGTGACCTGGACAGGCTGGTGAGGTGGGACCACACCAACCTCATGAGGTTCCCCAAGGTGAAAGGCAAGGTCCTGCACGTGGGATGGGGCAACCTCCAGCACAAACACTGGCTGGAAGGAAAATGGATGGAGAGCAGCCCTGAGGAGAAGGACTTGGGGGTGCTGGGGGGTGAGAAGCTCAGAGTGTCCAGCTCTGGGGTCCTCAGCACGGGACAGACACTGAGCTGTTGGAGCAGGGCCAGAGGAGGCCACGGAGATGGTGCGAGGCTGGAGCAGCTCCTGTGCGAGGACAGGCTGAGAGAGTTGGGGGTGTGCAGCCGGGAGAAGAGAAGGCTCCAGGGAGACCTTCTGGCAGAACTTCTCGGGGGGCAGAACTCGGGGGTGAGGCAGTGGCCCAGGTTGCCCAGAGAAGCTGTGGATGCCCCATCCCTGGAGGGGTTCAAGGCCAGGCTGGATGAGGCTTTGGGCAATCTGGGCTAGTGGGAGGTGTCCCTCGCAGTGGCTCCCCCAGCTCCCCTGACCCCCCCTTTTTCTTTTTTGTCCCCTGGCGTCCCCAGATGTACGACTACAGCCTGGACATGTGGAGCCTGGGCTGCATGCTGGCCAGCATGATCTTCCGGAAAGAGCCCTTCTTCCACGGCCATGACAACTACGACCAGGTGAGACCCACGGCAGCGCCCTGCCTGCTCCCCCATCGGCCCTATCCCGCAAACCCTCCCCTGCTCGCTCCCCCCATCACCCCCTATCTCACAGACGTCTCCCAGGGAGCTGGGAGAGCCCAGGAGTGTGTCATGAAGGAAACTGGTGGCACAGAACCAGCTGGGGTCTCATCCCGCCATCCCCTCCCCACGCTGGGGTCTCGTCCCCATCCCCTCCCTGACCCATGTGCTGCTGCAGGGGCCGTGGATGTTCCATTTCCATTACTCCGAATGCTGCTGCTGCCACGGTGGGGTCCGTGGG